CTCACCTCCCTACAGTCCTCTATTTTTCCGCTTCATCACACTCAAGGCCAAGTTTGTGCAATAACAATTCTGCAGGCCACACAATGTCTTATACTAACACAGGTTATACATTCTACTTCCCACACTGATTATGAACATAATAATAATAATGCACACACATAATATATTTCCACAAAACCTAGATAGAAGCTCAGAGAAAGGGGTCTTACAGGTCTCTATCACTGCCTGGACACCTCTGTTCTCTGTCCATCGCAGCCTGAGAATGCTCATCTGGGTAAACTTCCACCTTGTGTCAAGGAAAATCAGTGATTTAATTTGATCTCCTTGACCACATTATTCATGTTGGTAATTACACGGGAGGAGAAAAGCTCTGAGCAATGTTTATATATTTTTTTTAACCTGTTATTTGTAAGACTTTCTTTTCTTTTAAGTTTCCCTCCATCTTCGCACTTCACTTTAGTCCCCACCATTACTCTGACTAAAAATCGTTCACTGCTTTTTGGTGACTTATACAATTAAACTATTATTGCTTCAGCCTCAAAATAATGGTTGACAGGAGCAAGGTGTCATAATTTTGACCGCCGACTTGACCCACATGTAGAGAACACTCAGGAACAGAGAACGTTTTAATTTATTTTATTTAAACACAGGAACGAGGTCCGGCAACCATGTAACCAGGGCTGGGCTCCTGAGGAGGGATAAGGGTAAGTAATAAGTAAATAAGAACAAATGCACTAGATGCAGGTAAGCTTACTGATAAGAAGACGGGTATCCACCAGGGAGAGGGCGTGTCCAGACTGAGAGCTGATCTGGAGAACGGTGCTTGCGGAAGCCTGGAGATAATCCTTCGTGGGAGGGTGGACAGGGTTCGCGACTGGAGCGGTACACTGACCCGTTCGGACTGCCATCCAGGTAAGATGTTCAGTGAAGTTCACGGTCCGTGGGATTCCAGAGGTTCTCCTCAACAAAGCTAGTGAGGCATAGGGCAGCACCCAGAGGTAGAGGGTTAACAAGTAGCTTAACACGGGAAAAACTTAAGTGCAACTGCACGGTGGCGCAGTTGGTAGCAATGTTGCCTTGCAGCAACAAGGTCCTGGCTTCGATTCCCGGCCGGGGGTCTTTCTGCATGGAGTTTGCATGTTCTCCCTGTGCATGCGTGGGTTCTCACCGGGTACTCTGGCTTCCTCCCACAGTCCAAAGACATGCCTGTTAGGTTAATTGGTCACTCTAAATTGCCCTTAGGTGTATGAATGAGTGTGTGCATGGTTGTTTGTGTGTTGCCCTGCGATGGACTGGCGATCTGTCCTGAGTGTACCCTGCCTCTCGCCCATAGACTGCTGGAGATAGGCACCAGCTCCCCCGCGACCCACTATGGAATAAGCGGTAGAAAATGACTGACTGACACTTAAAGTGCAAGATTTAAGGAGAGCCGGTTGTAGTACCACTGGGGCAAAACAGTCAGCCGTTGATATGCTGGCAGTTCTTCCTTTTATTGCGCCGTGGCTGATCACCCTATAGGCTGCACCTGTCAGCCTCCAGATCTCCAGGCTTCTGCGACACCTACTGAGGAAGCTGGTTAACGGCATGCTCAGCAGTTCAGATCCTTACACCACCTCCGCCTCAACGCTGACCGGCGGACCTCTGGAGCGGCCTGGTGGTGGAGGACCACATGTGCCTGCATCTGCGGATGTGGTGCTGGACTGATGCCACGGTCTTTGTCATCGGCAGGAAACACGGGCGGCTGGTACCCCAAGGAGGCTTCAAAAGGGGTACAGCCCGTAGCAGCCGAGATGTGGGAGTTGTGGGAGTACTCCACCCACAGTAGGAAGGTACTCCACTCGGTGGAGTCCGATGACGTCTCAAGGCTGACTCCAGTTCCTGATTCAAACGTTCCACCTGACCATTAGACTGGGGATGGTATCCGGAGGTCAGCGACGCCTTCACCCCCAGGGCGGTGCAGAACTCTTTCCAAACCAGGGTGGTGAACTGGGGACCACGGTCACACAAGATTTCCCGAGGAATCCCATGCAGCCGAAAAACGTGCTTCACCACCAGATTCGCAGTTTGTACGGCAGAGGGCAGCTTGCGTTGCGGAATGAGGTGACAGGCCTTCGAGAAGCGATCTATAATGGTAAGGATGGCGGTCATGCAACGGGAACATGGTAGGCCTGTCATGAAGTCAATGGCGATGTGGGACCAGGGCCGTGAAGGTGTACTGAGGAATTGCAACAAGTCAGCTGGAGGTCGGTTGGAGGTCTTATTTCTGGCGCAGGGCACACAAGCACTAATGTAGTCCCTCACGTCTCGGTGCAAGGTGGGCCACCAGTACCTCCTGGTGATCGAGCCTATAGTTCGGCTGGCCCCGGGATGGGTGGCGAATCTGGCCGAGTGGAACCAGCCAATCAGTCGGGATTGCATGGCAGCGGGAACATAGAGGCGGCCTGCTGGTCTGTTACCTGGCCCCGGTTCATCAGAAAGAGCTCGCCGCACACTCTCCTCTATCTCCCAGGTTAAAGCACCGACCGTACACCAGGGGCGTAGAATAGGTACTATCTCTCTCTCCGAATCCTCATGGCCGAACTGACGCAAGAGCGCTTCAGGCTTGGTATTCTTAGATCCAGGCCTAAAAGAAATGGACAAATTAAAACGGGAGAAAAACAGCGACCAACGTGACTGCTGTGAGTTAAGGCGTTTGGCAGATTGGATGTAAGATACATTTTTGTGATCTGTCCATACCAACACAGGATGTTTGGCACCCTGCAGCCAGTGGCGCCACTCCTTCAGTGTCAGCTTGATAGCCAGCAGTTCACTGTCGCCCACGTCATAGTTCTGTTCAGCCGTAGACAGGCGACGGGAGAAAAAGGTACAGGGGTGGAGCTTCCCATCCAGGTACGAGCACTGGGAGAGCACCGCTCCTGATCCCGTGTCTGAGGTGTCTACCTCCATAACGAACTGCTTGCTGGCGTCCGGGTGGATGAGTACGGTAGCCTTGGAGAACCGGCTCTTAAGTTTGGAGAAGGCTGTGTCAGCTTCAGAGCTCCAGAAATACGGTATCTTGAATGACGTGAGTGCAGTTAATGGTCTGGCCACCTGACTGTAGTTCCGTACAAAGTGTCTATAGAAGTTGGCAAAGCCGAGGAATCACTGCAGTTGTCTCCTTGAGTCAGATTTAGGCCAGTCCAAAACAGCTCTGATCTTCTCCGGGTCTGCGCAAATCTGTCCACCCTCAAGAATCATTCCCAAGAAGCTGATGGATGCTTGATGTAAATCGCAGTTCTCAGCCTTCACGAAGAGTTGATTCTCCAGTAAACGTTGTAGGATCAGGCGGACATGCTGGCAATGGTCGGTCTGGTTCCTGGAGTAAATTAAAATATCGTCCAAATGAACGAAAACATAGATGTTTAAATAGTCTCTTAAAACGTCATTCACCAGGGCCTGGAAAACCACTGGGGCATTGCATAAGCCGAATGGCATTACTAAGTACTCAAAGTGTCCCAAAGGTCTCTTGAAGGCGGCCTTCCACTCATCTCCCTGGCGGATACTTACGAGGTGGTAGGCATTTCTAAGATCTAACTTGGTAAAGATGGTGGCATGCTGAACAGGTTCGAAAGCCGAGGAGAGTAATGGTAACGGATATTTGTTTTTTATAGTAATGGAATTCAGACCTCTATAATCAATACACGGTCATGGACTACCGTCCTTTTTACCTACAAAGAAAAACCCTGCCCCCAGCGGTGAAGATGAGGGGCGGATAATTCCACCAGCTAGGGGGGAGTCAGCTATGTATCTTTCCATGACCAATCGTTCGGGCTGGGACAGTCTGAATAATCGGTTAGCGGGGCAACGGGCAAGAGCTCAATAGCACAGTCGTAAGGGCTGTGGCTAGGCAATGATAATGCTCAAGCTTTACTAAATACCTGTCGAAGATCGTGATATTCACCCAATCCCACTCACAGACGCACACACATTCATAGACCGATACCAGATTGGTAGCCAACTTGAGGTTAAGTGCCATGCCCAGGGGCACTTTGACTCCTTCCACTACGCCACAGTAGCCTATAATAACGCACAGAAGGCAACAACTATTATTACTTTTGTAAACAGTGTGCTGCTGTGTGACATCTAAATTCTCCTTCTGTACGTGCAGGTGGCTTTGGTGTCGTGAACAGTTCAGACTGAAATCAGATGGCAGTTGCATTTAATTACTAGTTTGAAAGACCACGCGAAAAAAAAAAATAAATAAAATAAAATAAAAAAAAAAAAAAAATATATATATATATATATATATATATATATATATACACAGGTATGACATACAACTCAGTATGTCCAAGTTTCAATCATCCAGCTGTTGACTTCAGGTGAAGCTTAAAGATTTTGCATTAGTCTTCATTTAAGTTCGCCCACTTTGTTCAATACTCCAGTTTTGTTAGCAGTGGAACAGGCCCCCAGCATGACCTTCACTGAGGTCTGAAACTCATCTTTACTCCTTCAAACATTCGTCCTGTAATTGTCTGACCATAAAACTTTACTCTAAAAGAAGGTGAGGAATCAATGTCAGAAGCATGGAAAATACAGAGAAACATTATTTTGAAATTTTGCAGATTATTTTTAAAAGTCAGGGCCATATGGGAAAACGTACAAATTTAGACAAGCTCTTCCACTTCTGCCAAGAACAGTGGTTAAATGTCAAGCACAGATTATGCCAGAAGTTTGTTGATGGCTACAAAAACTGTGGTTGAGGTACAACTTGCTCAAGAAAATTTAACTAAATATTTATTTGTTATGGCTTTGAGCAACGGAATCCCAGAATGCAGATGAGCAGGCAGCGTGATGGTAAGTGAAAAAAGGATTTAATGACAAAAAAACAAAACTCACTCACAGCAGGAGGCAAGAACAAAACAACAAATGGGTAGGCAAGACAGGCATGGCATGATCAGAAAACAAGAAATGAGCATGATCTGAGAATGTTTCTGCAAGGAATAAACAGGACAGGTGTGTATATATGGAGTGTGACCAGGTGAAACAAGAAGACAGATTAACTAGGTGCAGGTGAACCGGATAACGTTAAT